AGGAACCCTTCTCTATTGTTGGTGGGAGTGCAGACTGGTGCAACCACTGTGGAAATCAGTATGGAGATACCTCAAAGAACTAGGGCTAGAGGTCCCATTTGACCCAGCTATTCCCCTGCTGGGTGTCTTCCCAAAAGAATTAAAAGAATCATACCACAGCAATATATGTGCAACCATGTTTATAGTGGCACAGTTTGTAATAGCTAAAGCTTGGAAGCAGCCCAAATGCCTATCAACTGGATACTGGATAAAGAAGATGTGTTTTTTTTTTAACAAAATCAAGTACTACTCAGCCATAAAGAATGAAAAACTAGTCATTTATAGCTAAATGGATATATATAGAGGCCATACTCTAAGTGAAATAAATAGGACACACATGTGTAAATACTGAAGCGTTTCACTAGTGTGAGAAACTGAAAGTGTAAACAAGGGTTAAAATGATTAAAATGAATAACTGATAATTTGAAATAGGAAAAAAGGTCCAAAGACGAAGCAGTGAAAGGAGGGGAAGGGGAGAGGGAAAGGAAAAACTATGAGAAAAGAAAAAAATGGAAACGAAATCTATGTAAATAGGGAAGGGTGGAGGGGTGAAGGGTGCACAGGGAATGGGGAAAAAATAAGAACCAAGATCCATCATGTACAGGTACAAGCACCCAATGATAAATGTAAATGTATTGTATACCTAAAACGTACCAATAAAAGAACTTAGGAAAAAAAAAAAGAATGCTGGGCCTCTGTATTGTTGTGTGAAAGTGAAAAATCCCGTAGGACCTAGAGATAAAAACTCAGCAGCCCACATAGAGCAGGAGGAGACAGTATATATTTGCGTCTCATTCCAACTAAGTCATTCGCCTGTGTAATCAGAGGCACTTCCTCAGCTAAACACTTTCCAGCTCATTATTTTGCTTAAAAATGATTAAAAGGTTCAGAAACAATTATTATTTTAATTTCCAAAATGGATTTCACTGAAAGAGACTTAGTATATTAATAAACACATACAAATGTACTACAGAAAACAGATTGTCTGCAAGTAATCTTTGGATTAGAAGCAGACAGTGTGAGTTTTCCCCTGAGAGGGCCCGATCACAAGGCTCTTTCCTCCTGCTCAGGAGCTGTGCTGTACATCGGACCTCCCAAGGGACTGGGTGTCGCTCCAGAGCGCCCTGCAGTCACTGCCTGAGGTACAGAACTGCTCCTGGCTGTCCTCTCCTTGAAGGCCAGGTCCACGCTGACGCGGTGGGGGCTGCAGTCCGCGTGGGTGGATCTCACTAGACTCACCTCCCGCGAATATGGACCAGGCGAGTGCCTGTGAAGTGCGAGGCCGCGCTCCTCATCTGTGAAGCAGAGCATATGACAGTGACGGGTGACAGCCAGGTCCAGCACATCAGTAACAACAAAAGCCATCGCTTAGTGAACAGTTCTACATGTCTGACACGCTTTGCCGAATTAAGATATTATTTTCATCTCGCAAATGAGGAAGTCAGGGCTCACACAGGTGATTCGACTCCACAGCCTAATATTCTACCTGCTGAGAGATCCCACTCTCTGCAGACTATGTTGACTGATGATAGCATCCACTCCTCTGGTAGGCCTCCCGTCCTCCTGAACAATGCTGGGCACCACCCACGGCCCACAGCCCTTTACTTACCGCCCACGGACCCTCCACCTTTCCAGGGTTACCAAACACAAACACAGACTGCCCCATTGTAACACCTGTTATGTCTTAGACACCAAGTGTCCCCAGACCGGTGTGTTGGGGGACTAACCCTCAAAGCAGCAGTGCTCAGATGTGGGGACTAGAGAAGTGATCAGACCACAAAGGCACTGACTGCATCAGTGGATTACAGGCAAATGGACGGCTGGGGAGGAAACAAGTCACTCGGGGTATGACTTTAAAGGGCGTAACCTGTATCCACCCTCTTCCTCCCTCCCTGGCTCTGCCTTGCTGACTCTGCTTCCTGGTTGCCACGAGGTAAGCAGCTTTTCTCTACTATGCCCTTTCTGCCATGATATTTCTGCCTTGCTACATCTGTAAAAGCAATGAAGCCAGCAAACCATGGACTGAAACCATGAGCCAAAATAAACTTTCCCTCCTTCCAGTTTGTATGCAAGTCCCTCTTTAATTACCACAGTTCATATGTGACTGGAAAGCAGGGGAATGGTGTCCTCCTAAGCAGAAGCTGTGTTTGTTTATACAGACTTTTTAGCATGTTAATGTTTCCTCTGGGTAGAAGTCTCTGAGCCCAGAGGTCACCCACCGAGCCAGCAAGATGGCTGAGCAGTGCTGCGATTCGGCCCTTTCCTGCAGGCCTAGTCCAGGCACATGCTGCTGAGGACGCGGCGAGCACAGTTACTCGGGACGCTCGCGTGGAAGGACAACACAAAACAGGATCCAGAGCCCTCTCCCCCAAGCGCTCGAGCTCAGGCAAGGTCTGCCAGTGCTTCTCCTCTACCTCCGCCCTAGCTCAACTTGGCACCCTCAGGGCCTCTTCGCTTCCACCATCAAGTTGCCTCAGCTCTTAAACTAAACGCTGACACCAAGACATTTATTTCCTAGAAATTCAACACAACTCGTGCTCGTGTTCTTTTTAGAATTGTTTCTATTTTGCTTGGTGCTCTGGTCAAAGCTGCCTATGTTTTAAGTGATCTATCCAACTCTGATTTCTCCATAATTTCTGTTGTTCTTTTGTGTATAATTTTACATAACCTGAAGTTTTCCAAATTTGCATATTCTGCAGTATAGCAAAACACCTCAATTGACAGCACTTCCCAAAGATTAAACTTTATCTAGCTACCTCAGACCATGTGGTCCCTCTTCTACACTGGGTTGATAAAGACAGAGTAAACTGCTGTCCTGTCCATGCTTGTTTAAGTGGTCTGATATGCAATTCATAGTTCTTAGTTGCAAACAGCAGAATCTACTCTAGCCAATGGGAGCAAAAAAGGAATTAAAGACCATTAGCTCACAGAGCATCTGGATGAGGCAGCAAGTCAGGCTGGGGGGACAATGATCCTGCCAGGTGGCGCTACTGGACCACACTCTGGCCGTTACTTCTGGGAGCACTTTGCCTCATATCGTGGAGTTCTTGTCCTTGCTGCTTCAAAAGCTGCAGGTCTCTCTGTTGCCTTTGTCAGAAATAGCTCTGCTGGAACTCCCTTCCTCTCAGGACTCTTTCCTGAATCAAAGTTACCCCTTTGATGCATCTCAGCATCTAGGCATGGGACACATTCTGGTATTAGCTTCAAACGAGGCAGGGAAAGTGGCATTTTGACTTGCACTTGGAGGAGGCAGAATTCATAAAGCTGGAAATTCCCTGGAGGGCAGAAGAGTGTTCAAAAGGTGCTGAATGACCACAGTATGAACCAAATGTCCACTGTACTTGGGAAGCAAATTTTATATCAAATATACACAGGTACTGACTTCTCAGTCACTAGCTAATGGCTTCTCCCCATAGCAAGTGAACTCTATTCCTCACCGCCTGCTTAACTCGGAGTGCTAGCTGGCGTGTGTCCACCTTATCACATGCATTTTTAGTGCAGCAGAATCTACCTTGTATGCCAGCAACATGTGGAAGCATCCCAAGGGTGCACAACTGTACTTTTTAATAGCAATGTTTCCAGAGTAACAGATTCCTGTGAACATGTGGGGATTTCGAGAAACCTCCAAAAGAAAAGGAAACTCACAGCATCACACCTATTACCTGGTTCACCAGCAAGTATTGACTCCTACAGGCTGCAGGGGTTGCCCGATTTCTAGCTCACTGTTCTGTCACACATTTTTTTCTCACTTAGGAAAAGGTATCTGAATCCAGATGAATCTTTCTGTTGAATACAAAAGTGTCCATCATTGGAAACTGTAGTATTACTACTGTTAACAGATTAGTGACGATATTGCTCACAACAGACTCTGCCTCTCTAGCATATTAATAGGCTAGCCTACTCATTCTTATTGACAATTTCTTCCCTTCAATATGTTCATTATATTGTCCAATGAGAACATCAGACATGCTATGACATGTGTGCGCATGTAATTTCTCACTACAGCTATACTTCCCCATTGATGAGCTCAGAGCTGAATCTTCTGTGAACTTAAGAGGCAGGGCCTAGTTGGAGAAGGTGGATCACAGGGATGTGACTTTGGGGACGACACCTGGCCACGGGCCCCTTCCTCTCTGGGTCTTCTCTTGGCCCCTGCTTCCCAGATGGCATGGGTTGGGGCACTTTCTTCCACGATTCCCACTCACCACGATGTTCCTCCAGGGAGCCTGTGATCACAGACTGACCTCCCTGGATCTGTGAGCTTGAACCTTTCCCCCTCTGAGTTGTGGGCGTCGGGGGCTCTGTCCCAGCAGCAGGAGAGCTGACCCACACAATGCCCATTTCCCAGTCAGTGCATGGACTCTAAGCCTCACTTTGATCTCAGAAACATCCTCTGGGTGGCACGGCCCGGTCAGGACGACCTCCCAGTCTCACAGCGCCCCTCACTCCTAGTGCTCCAACCACAGGGATCTTCTTTCTCCTCCTCACCCTATACCAAGCTGTGCCTCCCACCACAGGGCCACAAGGGTGCTTCCCCATCACCCTAATCATCACATCTGGGATCAGACGCCCACCCTTGTCACAGCCCTGGGTCTGGCGCCTGTGACATCCGGGCAGGACCTGAGTCTCTTCCGCTGGTGCGGGACTCCTACGGATAACACATGATCACTGGACAAACATCTCTCTGCTCCTAAACCACAAGCGCCCCAAGAGCAGCACCCTGTACCTCTGTAATCACCACTGTGTTCCAAGTACCAGCCAGGTTTCTAGCCCATGGTCAGCCCTAAAAATTACTCGATGGACACACTGATGAATTCATGCATACAAAGTGTTTGATCTCACCCATTTGGTATTTATTTGCTTAACTCAGATACAAAGTGCGCAGTTTTTCTCCTAAGGCTAACAATGTCACCACCACGCAGATGAGGAAACTGAGGCAGCGACACTAACTTGTTAGTGACAGTGCCACAGACGGGTTGGGTTTGAGTTACAGGCCACTCCTTTCACTGGCATCTGTCTGTGGGCACAGCCGGATCAGTCAGGTGCTCAAAGGAGGTGCAGAAGCAAGCAAGCCATGGTTCTGACCCATGGCAGCTACACATACATCAAGGGAATCCCATATTACACGCACGCACACACACACATGAATGGTGAGGTCACTTAATCTGCTAACATCTCAAAGAATGACAAGGGGGAAGGGAAAGGATGATGTTTATGAGACAGACGATTGCCTACGCAGAGCACTATGTTAAACATTCTAACTTTATTCTGTCATTGATCCTAAACAGACAGAAGCCCATGAGCTCCTGTCACTGTGCCCAACCAGGAACAGCAGCTGTGGCTCTGCACTGCCCTAAGGCTGTGGGTCTCACTGGGGCTCAGGGTGAGTGAGGGAGCAAGCCAGGCCTCTCCCAGGGCCTCTCTGAGCGAGCTGAGCCGCCTGGGTGTGTACAGCTTTTCCTACATGAGGCACACCAGGAAGCTGCTGGAGTCTCTGAGGACAATCAGGCCTCGAGTTCATGGAGAAAGGTGGGCGGATACACATCAGGCCAAGAGGAAGTGAGAGAGGCCAAGCAGTGTCCAGGCCACGTGAAGAAAGCAGCTGCGGAGGTGGACTGTGCCCTTTCACCCCTCCATGCATAATCAAACCTTTACTGGGGGCAAAATAACCAAGTGTGAAATAGCAGCTGGTAACCCCCACTTTGCAGTAAGAAAAGCGAAGCACACAGTGCTAGGTTGCTCAACAGTAAAGAGGGATGTGACTGGCACACACACCCGCGCCAGAGCTGCAGACAGCACAGTGGATCCGTGACCGGCAGTCTCCGGGGCAGCTGCCCACCAGCCTGGGCACCCACAGACCTGAGCAGGGGCAGAGAAGGGGCTCCCACAGAGGCAGGGAGGAACCAGATGGGCGTGGCTCGTTCAGGGCCCAGGAGGGATGAGACACTAAAAGCAAACCAACAGCCGGGGATTTACCTCAGTGGTTCTGCCACCTGCCTCGCAAGCGCAAGGTCCTGAGTTCGATCCCCGGTACCAAAAAAAAAAAAAAAAGAAACAACAACAAAAGGGGTTTAAACTGTATTTTGATTTGATGCCCCTGAGGTGGGTAGAAGGGATGCACTGGGGTGAGGAGGACACTACCAGTGAGATTCAGAACAGAAGGCAAATGAAAGAAAAAGAGCCCTCGGTTGTGGTTCACCTAAGAGGAATGAGGACAACAGGGCACACTCGATTAATATGTAATAGGAGAACTGACAGAATTAGAGATGCGTGGTGGGCGGCATGAGGAAGAAGTTTCCAGAATAACCCAACGTGTGTCCTTTGGTGGGTGCATGTGGGGTGTTCCAGTCTCTGAAATGAGAAAGGGCAGGGTAGGGAGACAGAAAGGAGAGGAGGAAGCGCCCTCCGCACAGGCCGAGAGTGCTCAGTGGCTGCTGCCGCTCCCTGCAGGCAGCTGCACAGAGAGCGCAGAGGCCCCGCATCTCCCCAGGGGTGAAAACCACACTGCCACGGAGCCCACGTGAGCCCAGAGAGCAGCCTGTGACAATGGGAAGTTCTGGGTCTCCTCCGTCCAGCAAGAGGGTTGGTACCTGGTGGCCATGGAGCGCCTTAAATGTGGCTACTGCGACCAGGGAATCCGACTTGTCATTATGAAGATAGGGAACACCAGCGGTCTTCACTCTCTGACACAGTCCACAGGGAGCACCAAGAAAGCAGGTGTGCGGCCTTCTGCCCTCTCACCAGGCAGCCAGTTTTCCAGCCGACGCCAGCCACTAATTCAATCAGTCCTGACTCTGCGGCCTAGAGACAGCTGGGTCCCACAGTCTGAGG